GAGACCACCCATGTTTAAGAAAGAAATCATTGAAGTATTCGTGCGCGTTCAAGAGCTTGAATATTATGACAGAATTATGTTGCTAGTTAGAGCAATGTTTGTCGAGCTAGTCAAGATATGTGAGACTATCGAGGATGGTTTAAAATCAGGAAAGATAGCCCGTGTAGCCGCATCACCTGGATCTGCATGGTTGTTGAAAAAGAATAGAGAAGAAATCGTTGTTGTTTCATATGGGGGAAGGAAAACCCCTAGAAGAACGTAATATTCCCAAGGTTTTTCTCGTCCTTCCCCAAAGTCCTACCAATCTTGCTACACGCAATCCAGTCATCCCAATAACAAGAATACATTTGCCACTTATCAAAACGTCCAAGCTCCATTATACAAAAGTTCACCCTGAATTACAAAAATCCATCTCCCTTTTACCCAAATTAGCCTCTGCCCTACCAAAGTCATCTCCCTGCCAGGGTCTTGGTCCCAATTGCTCTATCGTGCAGTCGAGCGATCGAGCACCCCCTTCGGTTTATCAAGATCTATATCAAAGAAGCCAAGCTCCCCGTCCAAATACCAGAAGTTATCAACAGGTGCCTCTGTCTCAACTAGGAAGTTATGACCCTCCTCGACCCAGATTCGGGAAGAAGCTTTCCAGGAACTTCACTGCGCACCCCGAAAGCCAAACAAAGTTGTACGAGCGACTGGCTGCGGTCGGATAGATCCACCATGTGGGGACCAAACCTGTGGATGTCAATTCAAAATTCTACTGACCCGATCAGAGATGTGCTTATCATTCCAATAGTGTTGGCCATGATATTGAGGATTGTATCAACCTCAAGCACAAAATTCAAGATTTTATTGACCAATAGGTAGTCTCTTTCCAACTAGTGGAACCAAATGTCAATATCAACCCATTGCCGAATCATAGGGGAGTCAATGTCAATATGATCGAGACAGATGATGAACTGTGTGGAACAAAAATGATTACTCCCATCGTTCACAATGATTCGGAAAATGATGTAGTTTCTTTAAGCATCAAATAGAAGAAAGAGTTCGTAATTTTGACACCTGCAAAGGTTGCCGCTTTGGTGTCATCAAAAACTCTAATCAAGCCTAAGATCATTATTAAAACTGCTGCTGCTCAAGGAATGAAAAGATCCGCAAGATGTTACACTCCTGACGAGATTTCTCTCAAAGGTCAAAAAAAGGATCAGGCTAAAAGACATTTAAGCGAAGGAGAAACGGAGAAATTCTGCAGAAGAATGCAGGTAAAATATTATTCTATCATCAAGCATTTGGACAAGACTCCAGATCAAATCATTGTATGGGACCTGCTGATGAATTCTTAATCGCACAGGCAGGCTTTGATAAAGGCTCTTGATGATACGTATGTACCCGCAGCCCCAAGCAGCGATAATGTGGCCGATATGATTCACCTGGTTATTCGAGGACACTGAATGAGATTTTTTAACGATGAGCTGCCTTTTGAAGAGAGGTCACACAACAAGGCATTACAGATCAATGTGGTATGCCGCGAAAAGGTTGTCAACCGCATCTTAGTAGATGATGGATCTGTTCTGAATATCTATTCATTTTTCGACGTTGAGACAGCTAAGGTTTAACCGTAGGAAGCTGGAGCAAAACCAAGTCAACATAAGATCCTTTGATGGGGTTCAGAGTGATACATTGGGACCAGTGAATCTGATCATCAAAATGGGTCCAACAGAATTCATTGCATATCTACAAGTATTGGATATCAATACTAGTTACAACCTTCTTTTGGGAAGACCTTTCATCCATATGGCTGGAGCTGTCCCTTCTACTCTACATCAGATAATGAAGCTCGTGTGGAAGAACGAAGAGCTGGTTATTTATGGCGAAGGGAGTCGTAGTTGCAGACAGGTACCGATCATTGATGAGATATCGCAAGTTACATATTTCTACACGGTGGAGCTAGTGAATGCAAACGGTGAAGACTTGTCCCCACAAACTCCCATGCCTGGCGTGTACAAGATGATAGCCACTGTGATGCTGCAGAATGGTTTCGAACCAGGATTCGCATTGGGAAGAGATTCCCAAGGAATTATTGATCCTGTTCCGATCCTCGTCAAGGGAGTGAGATATGGTTTGGGGTACATCCCCATAGATGATGACCTGAAGACGAAGAAGAGAAATGATCAAGCATTGGCTAAGCCGATCCCACATCTGTATCAATCCTTACATGTTCGGGAGTATGCCAAACATGAAGACCTTGCGGAAGGAATTTGTGATCTTTTCGAAGAGATCGACATTGTTATTATGGAAGAGGTTGAGCTAGCCGGTATCCACGATGCTGATCCAGGAGAGATTTAATTAAATTGGACCTCCACGCACATCCTAATCCCCCAATATCCTCGGTAGAAGGACATCGATTCATGCATATTTTAAATCATGGTAGTTCGAAAGAGGCCTGCGACCTACCATTTTGCATATTTTTTTAACTATTTTGAATTTTTGAATTTCCATCATAATGTTCAAAGAAGGCAACATGGCCCTATGCCATAGCCAAAGTTTTCATTGTTTTCCAAATAAAAGCCGCTTCTATTTTTAAATTGTTTTTATTTATTCATCTGTTATATTTTACTTTCTTTACTGTGTGTTTTTATTATATCAGTAATGTAATTTTTAGACCTACCAATGTCATGTCATGTTACAAGCTGAATGAACAAAATGATCCTGGTAATGACGAGGTTGATGATTACGAAGAATGTGAGGAACCAGAGTATGTTGTCGAGGAATTTCTGCAGTTTGAAAATAAGCATAAACAAAATCTAGAGGAAACGGAAACGGTAAAATTGGGGAATCAAGAATCCGTTAAATAAGAAAGATCAGCATCCACCTAAATGAAGCTTAGAGAGAAGGCGTGATTCATTTGCTTACTGAATATAAATTGATGTGTTCATTTATGTAGTCGGTGACATACAAGGGCTGAGTACCGATGCCGTATCTCATAAACTGCCAATTAACCTAGGGATTCGGTAAAGCAAAAAACTTAGACTATGATTAAAGATCAATGAAGAGATCACCAAGCAAATATAATCTCGATTTGTGGAAGTGACACAACACCCAACATGGTTAGCCAATGTTGTTCCGGTTGCCAAAAAAGATTGGAAAATCAAGATTTGTGTCAACTACAAAGATCTCAACAAAGCTAGCCCGAAGGATAAGTTTCTGTTGCCGAATATTCATATTTTGATTGACAATTGTGCTAAGCATGAAATGCAGTCATTGGTGGATTTTTACGCAGGCTATCACAAAATTCTGATGGATGAGGAAGATGCAGAAAAGACGGCTTTCATTGCACCTTAAGGGTGTATATCATTACATAGTGATGTCGTTTGGCCTCAAGAATGCTGGTGCCACGTACATCAAATCTATGACAACCATATTTCACGACATGATTCATAAGGAGATTAATGTGTATATGGATGACGTCATAATCAAATCCCGCAACATTTTGGATCACTTGACATATCTATGGGAATTCTTTGATCAACTGCTAAAAATTGAAGTTCAATCCCGCCAAATGCGCTTTTGGAGTTCCATCAGGAAAGTTATTGGGATTTATAGTAAGCAGAGTTGGTATTGAGCTCAAACCTTCCAATATTAAAGCAATTCAAGAGTTACCTCCGGCGAATATGAGAAAAGAGGTGATGAATTTCGTAGGGAGGCTAAACTACATCAGTCCATTCATAGCTCAATCCACTGTGGTGTGTGATCCTATTTTCAAGTTGTTGAAGAAAGACGCCCCGACAAAGTGGACTGAAGAGTGCCAGACTGATTTTAATTCTATCAAAAGGAATTTGTCCTATCCACCGGTATTGGTTACTCCGCGAGAAGGGAGTCCTTTATTGTTGTACTTGTCTATCTCAGATAGTGCATTCGGATGCGTACCCGGTCAACACGACGAGACAAGAAAAAAGGAAAGATCCATCTATTATGTAAGAAAGAAATTTACTCCATACGAATCTCGTTACACTTTGTTGGTGAGATCGTGTGGTATTTTAACTTGTCTTTCCCAGAAGCTGAGGCATTATTTGTCTTTTTAAACTACATACCTTATTTAAAGAATGGATCCATTGAAGTATATTTTCTAGAAGGCGATGCCGACCGGAAAGCTAGCTAAATGGCAGATGTTGTTGAGTGAATTTGACATTGTGTATGTGACTAAGAATGTGATAAAGACACAGGCTTTGGCTGATTATCTTACAGAAAATCCCATTAATGAATAGTATGAACAACATAAGACTTATTTTCACGATGAAGAAGTGTCATTTATGGGTGACGATATTTTTGAAGCATATCAAGTTTGGAGAATATTCTTTGATAGAGCGGCAAATCGTCAAGGTAAAGGTATTAGAGGAGTCTTAGTTTTAGAATCTTGTCAACACTATCACATGGATGCTAAGCTTTGATTCAATTGCACGAACAACATGGCTGAATAAGAAGCTTGTATTGTTGGTTTGAAAATGGTCATCGACATGAATGTCTACGAGTTGTTGGTTATTGGTGATTTAGACCTTTTGATTCATCAAATTCAAGGAGAATGGGCTATGAAGAACCCAAAGATTATACGTTACATACATTATGTACAAAAGTTGTGCAAAAGATTTCATAAAATCGAGTTCAGACATACTCCTAGAATTAAGAATGAATTGGTCAATGCTCTTGCCCATGTTGAAGCAGAACAAGACGGTTATCCATGGTATTTTAATATAAAGAAGTAGTTGGAGTCCGAGATTTATCATGAAGAGGTTGCATCCAATCAAAAGAAGTCGGTACGTCGTATGGCTCTCAATTTCTGTCTAAGTGGAGAAATCCTGTATAGGAGGACTCATGACTTAGGTCTTCTCCGATGTGTTGATGCCGTGAAACTAATTAACCAAATACATGCCTAAGTTTGTGTCACACATATTAATGGGCTCACTTTGGCAAGAAAGGTCCTTCGAGCCGGGTATTTCTTGATTACTATGGAGAATGATTGTTACATGTTTTTTCAAAAATGCAACAAATGTCAAGTGAACGGCGATTTGATACGAGTTCCGCCTCATGAACTTAATGATATGAGTTCACCTTGGCCGTTTCTAGCTTTGGGTATGGATGTCATCGGTCCAATAGATCTAGATGCTTCAAATGGACACAAATTAATTTTGGTTGCTATTGCTTATTTCACCAAGTTGTTGGAAGTAACTTCTTACAAATTGGTAACCAAGAAAGTTGTGCCAGATTTTGTTCGTAACAAACTGATATGCAGATTTGGAGTGCCAGAAACCATCATTATTGATAATGGTGCAAATCTCAACAGTCACATGATGATAGATACCTGTGAACAGTTTAAGATCAATCATCGGAATTCAGCTGCTTATCGTCCCCAAATGAATAGAGTTGTAGAGGCTGCCAACAAAAATATCAAGAAGATCTTGAGGAAGATGATTGACAATCACTGAGGTTGGCATGAGATGCTGCCATATGCTTTTTTCGGTTATCAAACGACTGTAAGAACATCGATTAGAGGCACTCCATATTTGCTAGTATATATGGAATAGAATTAGTCATACCTGCTAAAGTTGAGATACTATCCCTACGGATCATCCAAGAAGAAGAGTTGAGTAATGCTCAGTGGTCAGCAGGAGCATTGATCATTTTAATTTTATTGATGTATCAATTATATCGACAGAGAATGATTCGCGCTTTCCACAAGAGAGTAAGAGCTAGAACTTTGGAAATCTATCAGTCAGTACTTAGGCACATTTTTCCTCATCAAGATGAGTACAATGGAAATTCAGACGAAACTTGCAAGGACCCTACATCGTTTGCAGGATATTATCCTAAGATGCTTTGGTCCTGTCGGAGATGGATGGCACCTCATGGACGAAACAAATCAATTCAGATGTCGTCAAGAGATACTACGTGTGAAGCTGCAGTTTGTATTTTTGTTATTCGTTCTGTCTGCTTGTATTTGTTTTGCTTAAATTCTTATCCCTCCTATAATGAACTACGTCTGACCTGACTTCTCAAGAATGAGATACGTAGGCGCCCTAAGTCGGCCTCGATTATCTTATTTATCCCCTTTTAAATATTTCTTTGTATTTGAACTACGTTAGACCTGAATTCTCAATAATGAGATACATAGGCGGCCTATGTCGACCTCGGTCGGTTTTTTTGTAATTTTTTTATTTTGTTAACCTTTTAGGGGGAACTACCTTTGACTTGATTCCTGCCTCAACGGGATACATAGGTGCCACAAGGGTTCGTTAATATCTCTCGTAAATTTCTATTCCTCGTTACAATAGAAACTGGGAAAAAAATTTTGACAGGGACTCAAAAATTCTCGAGAAGAAGATTCTTCCTCAGCAATTCAAAACTTGAGCTACTTCGAGATTTGCAACTGGGACAGAATTTTTGAGGATGACCTCAAAATTTCAGCGTGGATCTAAAAGTTCGGAGTGGCGCTGAAATTCCCCAATGAATAATCAGATTAACCTCCAAGCATCAGACTCAAAGAAGTTTGTTAAGCCCGATATTACATGACTTGGCAATGACCTTTTTCATATACTATTTTTTGAAAATTAATTTCTCATAAATTTTTCCCTTTTCGTTTTTTTGTGGCATAAAATATTTTGTCTCATCAATCAAGCGTCGGGAGATCGGGAAATCTACCGGAGATAGCAGGACAAGGAGCAGATCAATTTGTTTTTATAAAACTAAACAATTTATCTGTGGACTCAGGTTTTTATCTTTGCTCTGAAATCAGCATTCTTCCGATGGATGAATATGCAGAAGTAAAATGAGGAGAAAACTATCCCAAAATCAATGTTTTCCTAGAAGCAGGAATCATTTTATATCGCTTATGTGAAAGAGTTGGGAATATGAATTTTTTATTCCAATCAATTTCAAACAAATTAAAATTTATAAAAAATGTCTAGCTAGATTTGAAGTGAATCATGTGAAAATCTCAAGGAGGAGTTTATGATTATCTGGATCTGTTATTTTATTGTCAATCAAGTCAATGTACTATCTGGAAGTCGTTTTACATTTATTATCATTGAAGACGATATGATTATCCAGAAAGCACACAGAAGATCACTATGTTGCTCGATCTTAGCACTATTTCCATTTGGTACCAAGGATGACATCAAGAGTTAATACCTATGCATCACAGGAGTATATCCGTGCATTGCAGAATATCATGCATCGCGAGTAAGTACTTATGAATTGCAGAAGATCATGCATTGCGAGTCAATATTAATGCATCACGGAAGATCATGCATCGCGAGTCAATATTCATGCATCGCGAGTAAATATTCATGCATCGTGAGAAGATATTTATTCCTTGTCGAGAGCTATGCATCACGAGAAGAATTCATGCCTCGTGAGAAGATTTTATACCTCGTAGAAATTTATGCATCGCGAGAAGATTTCATATCTCGTTAAAATTTACGCATCGCAAGAAGATATTTATTCCTCGCAGAAATTTATGCATCGCGAGAAGATATTCATATCCCACAAAAAAATCACGTATCACTTGAAGCTATACATGCCCTGCAAGAAATCATGCAATGCCAGAGTAGGAATCAAGAATCTCAAGGGAAATCTTTACCCCTCAACATCAACTATATCTTTATTTGGCAAGAGTGAATGCCATGAGAATCATCAAAAGCAACGAAGAAAATATCAGCATTGCATCAGCTTTATTTATTTTTACATCCAATGAAGAGTGCATTGAAGATTATATTGAAAACACAAGACATAAGCCTTATATTCTTTACGTAAAACCAATTGAGTTGATGTCAAATGTAGAGGAGAACGATTAAGTGTCGACACAATAAAAGACATTGTCTCCAATTAAAATTGCCATTTTATGCTGACAAGTTTTATCTCAGTCTTTGTCGAGAGAATCCAAAAGTATGAATTCTTTAAGACATACCACAGGTGCAGACGACATCAAAAAGGATGCAGGACAATGTGGAACCTTTTCTTAGCAGCGAACTAGGACACAATCCAAAAGGAATGTCAAACTCTTAGGGCGCGAGTCAAGTAGCGACTTCAACCACAATCAAACCACACCCCTATCATAAGGCATGTGGGTTTTTCTTTCAGTTTGTCAACTTCGATTTTGCATCCAGAAATTTAGGCATCGCCGTAGGAAAATTTCCAATATGAGTGACAATTCACCAAGAGCTTTGGAAATTGTGTCCGTGTGAGTTCTTAATTATGGGTGTGAAGTTCTCCACGTTCATGTCTAAGAGATTATAAGCCTTTATTTCATACTCGACCTATTTGTCACTCTTCCAGAATAAAAGGTAATCTAACATAATATATTTCCTTTTCAACCGACCGAGTTGAACTACAAATAGCCTGATTCCTGATGATCTAAGGATATATAGGAGATCTCAATATTGGAAACTCAGCTGAATTCCAACATTCTATCTTAAATCTAAACTCCCAAGCATTTCGATTCCTTCATAATCCCATATCGAGATTACTTTTGAATTCTTTCAAAATTGTACATTATATCAAGCGTATCGAACTATAAGTGGTCTGAATTTTCATATAGCCTGGGATATATAGGAAGCGCATTTCCGGGGCTAGACCATAGTTCCTGAAGTCCGTATTAAATCCTTTCCTAAAAGACGAGACGAGGTCGTTCAAAAATGAGTTAGTCAATTTAATTTTCCCCGGATTTCTTGCATCAATCAAACTAAAATGAGGGACAGTTGTTGACACCCAATTTTGACCCACCCCAGAATAATTAATTAACGAGCTTCTTAATGCTAGGCGATTTGACATGATTAGATCTGATAAAATTTTGAAGCGTTTTGCAAGTTATTGTGAATTAATATTATCACTTTTTATTTTTCTACATGATATACATGATTTACGTAAATATGTACATAATCAGTCTATTTTATGGATAAAAATAGTCTCAAACAAAGTTTGAAAGATTTTCTCACATAATTTGAATCAAGATTTAAGAGTTATTTTAAATGAACTCTATCTTGTATTGGTTACTTAATTGTGTCTTTACATGGATAATAAGATGAATATGATTTATAACTATTCTGTGGGATTTATAGTTAACACCGAGAAGATATTGATGCAGAAGCTCTCCCGCTATTAGAGGTCAGTTTTCTAGTATCAATCTCTCTATCTCTTAACTATATGCCATCATAAGTTAGTCTTAGATAAACATTAGCTAGTAGATCACCTTTAGCTCAAGTTTATAGTTCTTACCTTTCTAAATGAGTAAATCTCTTTTTTGTATGGGGTAGAAAACAAATTTAATGTAATAGCTCAATGGTCTATGTCAAATATATGGTTTATACACATCCCGCAATAATGAAATAAGGCTACTTTTTGAAGTATCTTATAACTGTTTCAAAGATGTTTAGTTTGATTTGTCCGTGATTATGACTTATGTTTTCTAAAAAGTTATTTTATGATTTAGCTTGGTCATTGCATGCCATTTAAAGTCATTTTTAGCATGATTTCATAACTCTTGTGTATTGATATAATTGCTAGTACATTTTATTTACTAATGCATACTTGTGCCTACATTTTTCAGTAATGTAGGGTCCAACGCTCGTACCTCCCATACTCGTGGCTAGTTGATTCTTTTGGACTTTTGAAGATTAGTGAGTCCTCATAATTCGAGGATCAAGACTCTTTTACTGCTTATCTATATTTCCTTTTAGACTTTGTATGAGATATATGAGTTACCTCTCAGTCACTTTCTTTATGATGTATTAGATAGTTTTGAGACTTATGTTAGACTTTCACTTTTGTCAAACTATTTGGATGTATAAGATTTTTTCTTTAAAGATTTATTTCTATTATCTTGTATAAGCATTCTAAGTGACTTGTGTAGGGCCTCTCTTGGCCATATACATCATCTTATGCCTAGGGTGTAATTTTATCGTGACAGATAACGTCAACGATTTCGTGGAAGAGGTTCCTATTCCAACGTCAACATCTAAGGTTATATCCGACGACAAGAAATAAAGGAGAAAAAGCTTGAAAAAACGTCAACAATATGGATGAATTTGACAAGGTTGTCTAATTTTTTTGGTTCAACTATGTTAATTTTTTTATCTGAATATTACTTGTTATATATATATGTATATATATATATATATATATATATATATATATATATATATATATAAACATGTATTAATTATTTTGAATTAAGAGTTGCAATTTTTAAAAATTGGTTGATCATGTAATTATTGAAAGGCTTATACAAATGGTGATAGAGACACTAAAAGATAAGTTTTCTTTTGTCCAATTTGAAGCGCGTGAAAGGACATGTTTTAGATATCTTTTTTATCTTCTGAGATTCAATACCCAATTACAATTCGTTTAATTTTTAGTGAATAAAGAGTTAAATCAACCCCTGAAGATAATTTTTCTTATTGAAGTAAATAGAGAAAAATATTTATTGGTT